GTTCAGCTTAGGCCCCATTTGCCCAGCTGTGCTTTGCAGATGTACAGCAGGGCTAGAGGGCTCGGTCTGCTTTGAGTAGCCGGCCGTTCATTTACTATATCCTCTAAATCATGCACGACAGCAACCCTGCCTCTGAAACCACGACTGCTGCAAGAACAGATCTGCCAGCTGAAAGCGTTAAAAGATTTGAGAGCAGCCAGAAAAAGTTTCTCTCATTCAGCGCTTCGATTATTTTGCAGACACACTCGAGAAATAACCACTATAGCCTGACGTAATCTCCCCGATCCAGGCGCACCCCTCTCACACCCCGAGGCTGAACACAAGGCGAAGCCTCCGAACCACGACTCCGGGACCGCAACCGCGGCACGGCGGGAGGCGATGGAGGCCGTGGGGCAGAAACCACCTCCGGCCGGCCCTGCCGAGCCCTCCCCAGCCCGGGCAGCCCCGGCATCGCAGGCGGGCAGCGGACAGAACCGGGATACCCGGTGCGCCCCTCAGCCCCTCCCCGCAGCCGCCCGGGCCAAAGCGGGGGCGCCTCTCCCCGAGTCCGAGCGGGTGCCGCCGCTGCCGTGCTCAGTTACCTGCCGGGCACCAGAGCCGGGGGCAGCTCTCTCCGCTCCCGCCCCGGCGCTGCCCTCAGACCAGCGTAATCCGCTTCCGGCACAGGGAAAGCGGCCGCCGTCGGTCGGGAGGAGCCGCTGCCACGTGAGGGAGACCCGCGGCGTCAGGAGTCCGCGCCCGCCATCTTTGCTGTGGGCAGCTCCCGCTGCGGGCGGCCGGGCGGGGGCGGGGCGCCGCCATTTTTGAGCGGGGCAGCGATCACGTGAGCGGCGGTGACGCCCGGCGCCGCCATCTTTAAGCGGGGCGCGTCCCGCGGCGGTGTCTCGGCAGCCGCGCCCGCCCGTCCGCGCGTGTGCGGAGCGGCACCGGTAGAGCCGCGGCCCGGGCGCGCCCGGCTCCGTCACGGCAGACTCGCTGCATCACCGCTGTCCCCGCAGGCAAAGGCGAGCCCTCGGGCCGAGGGCGGGGCTGATCGCGGCCCGGCTGAGCTCCGTGATCCGTGTGCGGCGCATCCTCCCGGCTCTCCGGTAAGAGGGGAAGGGCCCGCTTGGGCAGCGGCGGAGGGTTCGGTGTGGTGGGGGACGGGAGCGCTGCGGGCCGTGTGCCCGGCCGCTCTCACAGCCCAGGGTGTGTGTTGGTGTTGGTGTGGCGGTAGCTCCGGGAGCCTTCCCGGCGGTCGGGGCGCCGCGGTCCCGCAGGGCTGGGCGGGGGCCGGAGGTCGGCGGTGCCCGGTCCGGCGCAGCGGGGCCGTGTGGGGCGGGACCGGCCGCTCGCCCGCTGGAAGCGGCCACAGAGCTCCGCAGGGCTCTGCTCAACTTGCAGCTGTGCGGCAGCGGTACCGTGGGATAGCGCGCAATCCCTGAAAACAGTAATTTACCCATAAATGACCCCTGTTCGCTCCCTGAGTTATCCATGCGCATGGATGATCGGGAATGAGGGGTGGAACAGCCGGGGGGAAAAGTCCGGGGTATCACCTAGTGGAAAATCACTGTAGGCTTCTCCTGCGCTTAGGCAAAGCCCGAGTTAGGAAAATCCTCTTAGAAATATAGAGGTCAGCTAATGGGTTTCATAGTTAGGATTTAGCGTGGTGAAAGAAAGAAACGAAAGAGTGGCCTGGGTGCCCTGAAAGCCAATATAAAATAAAAACTGTCTTAACCCTGTAAGAGGATATACCCTCAACTCAAGCATTTTTTTTAAATGGCCTTTCTCTTTGGGAACAATATTTAAAGGCAGAAAAAAAATGTAATGGAAGTGGCTTATCAAATTGTGTTTTCTTGAGTGGGTAGCTCTTGGTGCCTGAAGAGAAATACCAGGTGTCTTTCACCAGCTTACTGAGCACACTTTTATCATTTAGGGGGAAAATACCAGGTTTTATGCTAAACAAATAAAGTAAATTCTCTGCCAGAGCAGGGATTGGTAATGTTACTGTGTCAAGAAAATGAGATGTGCTTGTTTATTGTTGATACATTAAAAAAAGTAAAAATATGGAGGGACGGGAGGTGAAATTCAAAACTATCTATTGAGTTACAGAATATAAATGAACTTAGGTCAAAAAAATAGGAAAGATGAACTTTAATTTCACCCACTAAAAAGAATAGGTTCAACTTTGGTAAAAACGTCATTCATATATAAAATTATACTGAAGTAATTTCTGTAAACTTTATTTAAAAAAAATAGAGATTTTTAGAGAAGTGATAAATATGTATCTTACAAATCTGAATATGCCTAAGGCTAGAGGTTCAGTGGGCTTTTGTGGCTTATAGTGAATGCTGGTGGGTTTTTTTCTAAAGTGTGAAGAATATGGCAAGTAATTACTGAACTTCTAGACCTCTTTAGCATTCTAAGTAATAAAGTGTTCAGGTGCAAAGTTGCACCTTGGGTCACTTCTGCTTTGTTGCCATAAAATGAAAATAAATGTTGAATKAAATTGTTCCAGTGCATCACTGGTRAAATAACTGTGAATGCAACTAAGAAGCCTGAACTTACAGATTACTGGTTTGAGATGCTGTTATTCAGAGCTGTACTGACAAAATAATAAACGCTTGTAATGAAGACACAATTGCTGCTTCATGTAATTGATGTCTTCAGAATAATCCTTTTATTCTTAAACTCTATCAGCATTCCCTTACAGAATTCTGTAAAACGGCTCCATGTTTAGAACACCAGTAGAATACATAACAGATATAATTGTTTATTTCAGTATCTGTTGAAGTGTTACCTACTGTAACTAGGCAGATGAAATCATTAATTCAAAAATTTTTGAAAGAATTTAAAATCTGTTTTGTTTCTTTAGGAAGTATTGGGCTCCTTACATGAACCAAAGATAATTATCAGGATCATTTGAATTCTCTTAGTGATGGATGAGATTTTTCTGTGGGTGTGATAGGGCTTCCGTGATGAGCACCAAATAAGTCTGTGATGCTGTGGAATTCTACTGAATAATGAATAGGTTCCTGGTCATGATGCTTTGAATTATGGTTCACATTTCTCTGATGGCTCAAATTTTTTTTCTTGGTGAATGGAAACACTAGTCAGGAACACAAAAAAAACCCTCAAGACAGGGCTTAAGTAGAATTTTTCTTTGAAGTATGGCTCTGTGTGTTCTCTAAGCAAAAACGTGTTCAGAAGTCCTGCTTTGGAAAGTTAACTGATTCACTTTATTGGGTGGTGTAGTATGAAGCATTGAGACAGGTGAACTGAAACCTCTCTGGGGCGACAGTGGAGAGGGCTGGCAATGGACTGCAGGGTTCTCTGCCACATATATGGGAAGCATTTGATGAGAAGCTTATTGCATGAGTGTGATCACAAACAGTGTGGAAACAGGCTGAGAGTTGGGGCTGTTGAGCCTGGAGTAATGAAGGCTCCAGGGAGACCTTACACAACCTCCAGTGCTTAAAGGGGCTGTAAGAATTGGAGCAGGACTTTTCACAAGGKCTTGTAGTGATAAGARWACGGCTTAGAACACAGAAGGCAGGATTAGATTAGATATTAGGAAGAAATACTTTACTGTGAGGGTGTTGAGGCACTGCAGCAGACTGCCCAGAGAAGTTGTGGATGCTCTATCCCCAGGAATGTCCAAGGCCAAGCTGGAGCAACCTGATCTAGTGAGTGGTATCTCTGCCTGAGGCAGGGGATTTGGAACCAGATGATTTCTAAGATTTCTTCCAACCCATCCCATTCTGTAATATCACTGCGATCATGAAACGGAGATACATTCCAACTTCGGAATAGGAGTACAAAATGGAATGTGAGAGAACTACAAAAGTAGGTTTGTTGGATTGTTCAGAGGTTTTTTAAAATTACTGAAAATGCAGAAAACCAGTTTTTGGATGAGGTTGAGGCAATGCAGAAGCTGGTGTAAAAGCTGATGTGATAATGAGCTGCAGGGGAAGAAAAGCAATCTCTTCAGATAGAGTAGGAAGTGATGAAATGGAGGAAGGTCAGTGAGTGAGGGAGAGGCTACCCTGGGCTTGCTAGGACTTTGATGAAGGATGAATCATAGTTTTAAATTAATCTTACAGTTTTAGACTTTAAAATAAAATTTTACAAAATGTGTTTCTGCAGCTGTGTATATTAAGTTACCAAGGTTATGGCAGTACAATGAGATATCACAGTGCTGCAAGATGGAAGGAGCTGTGTAAAAATTTTATTACCAAAAGGTGAAAGAAAGGCCGTTCAGCTTTGCTCATATAATGACATGTGAAGAATCTGTAATGTAAACTACATTTCCACAAGGGATACTCTCCATATGGACAGGAGTAGGGACCATATCCACAGGGATCTAGGTTTTGAACAGCTTTGGCCTTTCTGATGATTCTTAGAAGAAGAAAGGTGCAGACTGCACCAAGAAACAGAAACTGGCATGAGCAGAACTCCTGAGTTTGTTCAGGACTGCAGGTTTGGATTTGTGCAGTTCCATGTATGAAAAGTTAAATACATTTAATGCAAATCTAACAGCATGAGGTGATGTCTCCATTCATTGCTTTGTATTACTTGGAATAATGCGTTCAGAAAGCATCTTCCATAAAGAAAACCCTAAGCCTAAAGCTTTACTAATCTATTATATCAGTCTTTCTAAAACATTTGTATTAAATCATCTCACTGCATTTAATGTTCTCAGTGCTTTATTTGAAACTTACTTGTCCTTGTATAACATTTCAACAGATCTTGCAAACCATGGAAGATGTAACATACATTCATGTTGCCATTTCTGTTCTGAAAGGGAACCTTACAGTTCAAAGAGGAATTGCAAATATGATGGAAGTTGAGGAGGTTTGGCTTGACAAACTGTTGCCTTATTTGAAGTGTCTTTCAGTAACAGTGCATATAGATTACAGACAGTCACTGAACTGAGGAGGTACTTTTCCAGCTGGAGCTTATGTTTTAGAATAATGCATTTTAAATGTCATGCCACTGGTCCAGGAAAAGAATTTAGATCTCATATAGAAAAGAAATCCTAAATGATTCATTTACTGTAGTATTTCTAGTCTTGTGAGAAGTTCTCACGAAACTAGAAATATTTTATTGAACATCTGTTAACATGATATTAAAAAGAGATTGAAACCTATGTGGTCATACTTGAGTCTATGTATACAATTACATATATAATATACTATATGTAAATAATTGCTTATAGTTAAAGAAAACTTGTTAAAGTGTTTATATGCAGGTATATACATATGTGCATATAATATATGGCACAAAGTATCATATATTATTTTAATACAAATGATATGCAGTACTTTAATAATATTGTTTGTGTAGCAGTGTAGTAATAAAACAGACTGTTTATACACATACACACACCTATATAGAAAAATGACCAACAGAAGCTGAAATGGCTCTTGACTGGAATGAAGTTATTGGATGGTCCCTATCTGAATGAGTCAGTTGGAGTATTTATATAAAAAGAATGTTACAGTTTTTTTCTTTCTGTTGCTTTCTATGCAACTATCGAATTAATAATGGCAAAGTGATTGTATTTAGCATTCTTTATTTCTGATAAATTTCTGTGTCTGCACCAGAGACCTTGGATGGGCAAAGAGAACAAGATAAAAGCTGGGTGTTTAGTGCTATGTCTGAGTCACAAGTTTCAGTTTCCTTTTGATATATAATATGTCTGACTCTAGAATGTGTCTTTGTAAATAAATAAAACCAAGATAAAGTTTCCTTATCCTTTGATAAACAAGTCTTATGTTCCTGCAGTTTAGCCTTCACAGTTTCAGCACCCTTCAGCAGTGTTGCAAAGATCCGTTTCCAGAATATACACTCAAAACCACCATCAGTTCTAGGCAGACTTGGAAACTACTGTTTATGTCATTTGGGTGCCATGGCAGAGTCTGGGAAGTTAAATAATTAACCCAAATCAGCCTGCTTCATTCAGGATTCTTTTAGTTTATGACCTAGAAGTCAGTGGATTTCATTTCAGAAGTCAGCAGGCTTACTTTGGGCTATTGGAGTCTCTTAAGAAGGTTATTTATACTAACTTAGCCTAAAACAGCACATTGTTTTAAAAGTTATTTATAGGTTGTATATTAGATATCTAATATTGCTGTCTGTTCTAAAGAGTTGGATTTTATTCATTCTTATTTCTGTTGACAGGTGATTCCCTGGTGTTAAATTCTAGCTACAGTATCTCAGAAAATACAGCTTCAGCAATGTCATCACCCGGCAGCCCTTGCCCACACTTGGAATCAGTTGGTGAGATAACAAAGGAGGAATTGATACAGAAATCTCATGTGAGTTGTAACAATTCACTTTCCTCCTATCGCCATTAACTGGTCAGGTCTTTTTAGATATACATTTTAGTGTATTATTAGTTATAAGATGCATTTAAGTGTCAAGCATGGGTAAAAGCTCCTCTACTGGAACAGTAAGGTTTAAATAAAGTATGAGAAGAATTATGGACTTGATGAAGCTGAAGAACTATTTTTCTGTACTTGAAGAGCATCTTTGATGTTTCAATGGAATTATTAGTTAAAAGAGTTGGCTTAGCACCAAGCTGAACTTTATTTTCATTGTCATTTTAACATGTAGTAATTTGGAATGTTAATGTAATATAGTCCAACTACTTGACTTGAAGTAGGAACTAACAAAAATATTTCTGCTTGAGTTTACTTGAGTAACAGTTCCCTCTTTAATAGAGAAGCCACAGTTTGGTCCTACCTTGAATTCTTGGTTTCAAACTAGAATTAATAAATGGAACAAAGAAGGATCTTGTAACTCATTTTAGTACCTGGGAGGTGATGAAAAATGAAACCTTTTCTGTGCATGGTGCTAAATTTCTGTAACAGTTAATTTGCTGCTGAGGAACACAGCATTTTATTTGTATTTCATCTTTTTTTTGGGTAGACCTTTCCAGGTAGTGTCTGCTAGAAGGAATACTATAGGTTCAATCACTTTAATTTCTTTTTATGTTATATTTATAGGGAAGACCAATTTTGAAGATTATTTGAATTATGTGATATGATACATATTTATGCCTTACTTAGAAAAGCAGTTTTTAGTTTAAAGGAAAACTCAACCAAGAAATCCAAGATTTTAGTGGAAAAATGTGCTGATCTTGAGATTATGTGTAGCAAAAAAAATTGGCTGGTTGCCAGTATATCCCTCTTTTGTCTCGAAATTACTCATCTGATATTAAGCTTTACAGTATATTTCCTCCTTTTGTCTTGGAATTGTGGCTTAATGGTGAAAATAAGTGAAACAATACTTGCTTTCTGTTTAATAGGGCACTTGTCAGGACTGTAAAGTCAGAGGACCCAACCTTTGGGCATGCTTAGAGGTAAGTTGTTCTGTTGTTCCATACTGCAGTCATTTTCTAGTAAAGGTGAAGTTGGTAGTATTTTTTTTTTTTGAAGAAACAGCTGTAATCAAGTTCTTCAAATGAGTTTGTTTAGCTTATTATTTAAAAGCAAAATACCTTATGCAGTTCTTAATGTTTTTAATTATTTGCCCTCTATCAGGTGTATATTTCTTGTAATTTAAGAATAATATGCTTAAAATGAGGGKTTTTTTT